TTGTAAATACAACTTAACCACTTATTTCTAGTTGTGTCCTCTTTTGGAAGGCCAAACAAAGTAGTTTTGCTTTCACAGCGTCACACACCGCAGCCTTGAGTAAGCGGAGGCCGGAGGCCTAGAGTGAGCCGCGGACTAGAGTGAGCGGAGTCCAGCTTGAGTGAGCAGAGGCGGGCGGGCTTGAGAATGGCGCGGCCGGCGAATCCGACGAAGGAGCATCCGGAGTGCTTGCGGCAACCACATGTGACGACCCCGGGCTGGACTCCGCTTGATGTATTTCCTCAGCAACCAGCACAGATCAGCTCCAGGCATGACGAAGCGGATATCGTCCTCTTTTGGAAGGCCAAACAAAGTAGTTTTGCTTTCACAACGAAACACACAGCGCCTTCACGACATGGCGGCGGCAACAACAATACTACAGCGAGAATAAAAGTTACGCCTTCTTTCTTTGCGTGAACATTTGGGCGGCGTTATGCAAATCTTCCCACATCGTGACGTAGACATGTGGGGGCGTGTTTTATAAAGAATATCTCTTTGGATTTGAGACTTTAGTCTTTGCAGCTTTACAGATCTTCTTTATGCACCAAGAGCTTGTAACACTCCAAAGAGAAAGGAAAAATTGAAATCGCATCATATGACCCCTTTAATACGACGGAAACTGTATTTAACGTGATCACAATTTAATAAAAACTTTGTAAGTTAGGCCTATTAATTGTAATGATTTCATTTCCACAGTTATTCAAACAACGAATAGATTATATAGAGAAAGTGAGCAAAGAACACAGAACACAGCATCAATGGAGCTTTTAAAAACTCAGAATCAGTTAAACCATTGTATTGCAAAACGATTCACTGTTTCGAAACGCTCCAGTTGGATTGGATTATCAGATCGGGATGTCGGAGCGGGTTAGCGGGATGTTTTTTATTCCCACCGGGGATACACATACACATTACAGAAATAACAGAACTGATGACGCTCTAGGAAATCCCTAATATAGGCAAAGGCATACAGCTATCAAAGATAAAGGCTTGAACCAGGGGAGTTGCCAGGGTTGGGAGAGATAAGGGGCGTAAGCCCCGTAAAAAAACAAAACAAAACAAAACAAAAAAATTAATAAAAAAAACTCCATAATTTATTTTAAATACATTTCTTTCATACTAAGTAAAATTTGAATCTGTCAGGGTCTGGCGTCTGGTGTCTCCCTCTCACCACCTGAGGTCGCCACTTCCCATCCTCCCGGACTCCGTTACATTGACTCCACACACCTGTGCACACACTCACTCACACACAGCTGTTGCCCATCCTGAGGGCTATTTATACGCCTTCCCCACGCCTCTCTGGGCGGATTATTAATTGTTACTAGTTGTTGTACTGGTTGTGATAAGTGTTGTTCATGGACTGATACAAGCCAGAAGTGGCCGTAGTGCGTCAGAGTCCGTTTCGGTTTCAAGCCTGTGTCAGAGTCTTAGCTCTGTTTGTTTTCTGTTTTTACCTTTGTTTTCCCCTGCTGTTAAATAACGGTACCGCGCCGTGACAGAATCTATTAATATATTTATTGACATATCACTTAGTGATATAAAATTATAATTTAATTTCATTTGAATTATTTTGTTATTCCACAATGCACATTTCTTAATATTATGCCTAAAATGTGTTTTAATATCACTGTTAATAAGGATTGTATGGCCTCTGTATAATATCGGTCTTTAAATGCAAGATATTTAAAGTGTACCTGAAGTATACTTGCAATAGTTCCACTTTAGCACAATATAAGCCCTACTTCAGTATATCTTTAATTGGACTTCAGCACTACTTCTACACAATTAAAATGCATTAAGCACAAAAATAGTTGTTCCGATTTAGCAGACTTTTAGTATACTAAAAGTGCAATTGCAGGGTATTTTTTATTAAGCACATAAATATGTAAATGCATTTGTAGAATACTTAGCACAAAATAAATGTATATGTTCTGGATGCTGAAGCTCACTGACCACATCTTTGATGCTTTATCTGAAATTAAAATAATTTATTTGTTTACATTACATGTGGATAAATGACCAACTAGAGCTGCACGCTGGATAAACTGGAGAATCATGATTGTATTTTTTAAATAAATATCACTATTCTCCCACCATGACTCTGGAAAAAAAAAAAAAAAAAACAGACAACTAAACAAAATAACATGTAATTTACTAGAGTTTCTAGTAAAAATCGCTGCAGTATATTTATAAATCACAATATTCAACGAGCGCTATTTATATAAAGCACTATGTAAATGCATCATTCATTCATTCATTCATTCATTCCACAAATTGTTAAAAATAATAAGTTACACAAATGATTCAATGATCGCTCATAAAGACTTCACTTGTTTAATTCCTGAATGAATCAACGTTTTTGAACGAATCTCATTGTAAGTCACTTGTCTCCACCTGCTGGCGTTACGTTCTAATTGATACAATCTTTTAGTGTCGTCACTTTCAGAAAGGTGATTTATTCTATTTTGATCGCTACTGTAGACATTTGTGTTTATATCCAAGCTATAAACTTTTATTCCAGTACTTCTGTGATTATTTGAACGTTTGTAACACAGAAATAGCTATACAAAAACTTTGTAAAGATGTTTCATATACATAAACTGCTCTCTCTGGTCAGCGGCAGTACGATTTGAATGTCATAGTGTGATTCAAGACTTTAATAGACATATAGCTGAATCCTGTCATTTATGAACAAGATTGCGTAGGTGATTGAATCTGTTCACGATATGGCTATTTATTTAAATATCCAATAGTAGGCTTTACGACAGTAAACACAAGACGCGACAATATATGTTCCCTTCCAAGGGAACTTCGAATTGCGTCCTTTAGGGGTCGCTATGGGGAACGCCTTCAGCGTGAACGGTGTCTGAAGAATACATCTAAACACGACAATAACATTGGCCGGCGGCAGCCTGTGATGTCAACACCCGGCACGGCCACAGTATAAAAGGGCGCCGGGAGAACACGTCATCCTCTTCTTCGTCTTCAAGGACTGTTTTGTTTGAAGCGTGTATTTCCAGTAAGAATGATTATTCTTCTTTACCATGGTGAGCACTAGTAAGGCGTTTAAGAAGTGTGTGGATCCATGTCCTCGTTATTTGATACCTGATGACACACACAATCTTTGCGTCTTTTGTTTGGGTGAAGAGCACGCACGCGATGTCCTCGAGGGGGCAGTTTGCGTGCACTGTGAGCTTTTTTTCTATGAAAAAGCTCCGCTCTCGTTTGTCTCTCTTTTCGAGGAAAGAGGGACAGCCATCAGCTCCCCGTGGTTCAGGACCCTCCACTGCTGAGGCATGGAGAAAAATGAGCTCGTGGGGATCGCAGATGGACCTGGTTGATGAGTTGAAAAAGGGTCTTTCCCTTTCGCGCTCATTAGTCACGGACGAGAGTGAGCTGCTGGACGACGATGCTATCTCTCTTACATCATCTGATCCAGCGGCTAGTGCTCTGCTGGCTCAAAGCCAGGTTGATCTGCTTGAGGTTATGGATCGTGCCACGGTGAGGCTTGACTTGCCGTGGAAGTCGGCCGAGGCCGCCTCGACGAGCGTTTTCTTTCTAGCCATAACCCTCCAGCTCAGGTGAGCCTTCCATTTCTTCCCGATCTCTATGTGGAGATCGAGAAGGCTTGGAAAAATCCATTCTCGTCTCGCATCCATAGATT